TCTCTCTCTCTCTCTCTCTCTCTCTCTCTCTCTCTAACGAACTCCACTACTCTCCTCGGCGCTGGACTCCTCCAGCGCTGTGCCTCATTGCCGATGAATAGCGCAGCTGCAGTCTCAAAATAGCGCAGCCTGTAGTCTCCTCATAGCGCAGCAAGTGAAGTCCTGAACCAGCGTAACGCTGGATTTCCCCTGGTACCTTCCGTCCAGAACTGGGCGCTGGCCCAGCTTAAGTAGCGCTGGGCCGGACCCAGTGAGTCCACGGCCTCCGTTCTGGACCGTGTAGATCTAAACTCCGATCCACGGTCCAGATCGCAGGCTTCGAATCTTGGTTCAGTCCTTGGCCTAAAACGGCCTGCCTGGGTCCCTACCGGACGTCCAGGCCCTGCCCAGGACTGGGCCTGTTCGGTACCTGGTCCGATTCAGGCCCTGTGTGAATGCATCGGCCTAAACGTCGGTCCAGGTCCGAATGGTTCGAAATCTGTCCGAAAACAAAAAAAGGTCCAAACGTTTTTAGAGGCTCAGCCTCTGGGCCTGAATCTGACCCTGGCCCAAACGTGTACCTGGCCACAAACGGACAACAGCACACACATTAGAAAAACAACAGCAATAAATAAAATATAAAAATAGTCTAAAGCTGGCGTTTTTCTGATGCAGGCCCAAGTAGAAATGCCATAGGGCCTTCAGGTTGCGGTGACGTGACCTGGGGGCCCTACTCCAACCTCGGGTCCTGTGAGGGGCCCGTGTGTAGGCTCTCAGCATGTAACAGTGGCACAAGCGTCAACATGCACATTTACAAGTGCATTCCTCGTAGCACTGTAGTGCAATAAATAGCGGCCGAATTGATATCTTTGTCGGCTCCATACCAGTAATGGTCTCCCAAGGCCTGCTGGCTGCACTTTGTTGGCAGGCCGCCGGACTTTCCCAGGATGCTGCTGCTAATTTTAGACTGAGACTTTTGACAGGTTCTGGGCCTACCTGACTCCTAAAAACCTACTGGGTCTATAAAGCGGCGTTTTGGCCGCAGCGCCTGCCGAGTCAGTTACTGTTCTGGGACTGGGACCATCAGGACTCTGGTACCGGAACTCGGGACAATGACTGAGATGTGAAATCTTTTCAGGATTTACGTTTGATTTAGTTCTTGGAAAGAATCTGATTCATTTGATTTGATATATCTTTCTATCAGACATTGAATTGAGACACAAGACATCATTAAATTTAATACAGTCCCAAATGGGCATCCTGAGCGTTCCATTCTGGATAATGTCATGACCTTAAAGGAGTCCATGTGATACGTCCCGGATAAGAAGATATAAATGCGGCTATCCTCTTTTTTGACTTTGAAAAAGTCAAACGGACGTTTCAACAGCACTGTATGAAGAGAATGGGAGTGAGACCAAAGTCCGGGAAATGGGTCTGTGTGCTTTATAACGGCGCACATGGGCGGGCCCAAGTAATCGGGCCCAAGTAAACGGCTTTCTATCCCCTCCCTATAGAATGTCTGGATCAGTTAGACAGGGTGACCCCCTCACAGCCCCACTCTTCTTTTTACAATGGAGGGGCTATAACATCGTCCTTGAGGAACGATACTTCCATACACAGACGACTCTGGATCAGCCTTTGCACCAAGTCTCACTGCTGGTCACACTTCTTCTTGTTCATGACCTTAGCATCCTCATAAGTGTGTCGGGCACATCCTTCCAAGAGCTTACCGAGTGATGCATGCTCACTTGAAGATGAGTGATGCACATGTCCAACGGACGCCAGTGTGATGAACAGGACGCAGAACAAAACGATCTAATGCACTGTAGTGCAGCGGAAGACTCGAAGATATGACCTGACACATCAGATCCAGACTTGACTCACACACTCGTCATCACACATGCCACTCAGCAAGGAGGGGAATCATACACAGCAGAAAGGTCCCTCCTTGCGCACACACATGGGGAAGATACCACAAATGATGAAGGGGGAAGAGAGAGGAAGATGGAGAGGGGAGAAAAAACAGTCTCCCCGCAAATGTCCAGCCAATGTTTATCCTAAAAAATGTCGAATCAGATCCTGGGCGCACATAGGCCCGAAATAGTCACTGTCTGATCTCTCTCTCTCTGAAGAAGAAGAAGAAGAAGAAGAAGAAGAGAAAAGAGGGAGGAGAAGAAGAAGAAGAAGAAGAAGAATAGTGGCTATGGAAGGGTGGAGAAGAATCAGGAGAAGAAGGAGAAGAAGCAGAAGAACTCTCCTCTCTCGCGTGCTCCTGATCATGATGCCACGACTACTGACCCGCAAAGGTGATGATGACTCCCGATGCAGGTTGCTGCTGAAGGCTGGTCCCATGACCGGTATGAAGTCCCAGCTATGGCGCCCAGGTAAGTCTCTCTTCCCTCGTGAACATGGCCTCCGCCAAACCTCTCCACTCCAGCCTCCTACTCCTACTCCAGCGCTGCTCTATCGCAGCTCTCCCCAAACTGGCGCTGCTCCAGCAGCGTGACGCCCAACTAACGCTCCAGCCCAAATGTCCTCAAAGTGGAGGACTAGCCCAGCTATATACCACTGGGCCTGGCTGAGCAGTCCTCGGTCTGCAATCAGGACCGTCGAATCTGATGTCCGATCGACGGTCCTAATCTTTTTTTTTTTTTTTTTTTTTTTTTTTTTGG